GATATTACATCTCTAGGCCTACATAGAGAGGCCTACTCATACCTTATCTCTTTAACGAATTAAAGGCCTAAATAGAAAAGCCGATTGAAAATTTACCTCAACATTACATAGGGTGGCCTATATATCTTCTCGATGTACAAATACTAATGTAGATCCTAAATAAATTTAATATATGGGTGATTAAAATTAAAATGTCATTTTCATGTCCTGCCCAAAAATTTGGAATACTGGTTCATATATAAAAGTTTTGTAAGTCAATTAACTTTCTTAATCACTCCGACTACTTAAATTAATAATTCTTAGTCGCTAGAAATTCTCTGAAAAAATTTATCAGAAGAATTAGAAGCAAAATGTCAGTGGTGTCCCTTGTCCGCCTGTCAGTAAGTTTCATATTTTTAAGTAATTATCGCAAATTTTGAATATCATACCTGATATTTAAATAACCTAGTGCAGATAATTGCCTTATTAAGCGTTAATAGTATTGCTGATATGTATAGCTTCTTAAAGAAAAAACATTACAACATTCTATCACATCTATAACTTGTACGGTTAGTGGTAGAAAGCAAGTATCACTTTGTCAAGCACACCATGTCAGTGGTGTCCCCATAAAAAAATTGTTCATAATATTTCTTTTTCAAAATTGAGAAATGAAGCAAAATGTCAGTGGTGTCCCCTCAAAATTCTGTTTCTTGCATCTTATTATTTTATTTTTAATAAATTTGTGTTAAATTTACTCCTTATATGCAGTTAATGAAGATTTTATACTGGATTGTAATTTATAAGCTGATTTTATTCTCACTATTCAAAAAAAATTATCAGTGAAATCTTTCAAAAATGTCAGTGGTGTCCCTCAATGTTTATATGTTTTTTTGGTCTTCAAAAGTATATAATATTTATGGCAGATCTCATTACCAATATTTTTTAAGTCATGTTGAAACATTCATTATTGTAATTTGAAATATTTTAACTTTTTAAAGTTGTAAGAATTTATTTGAAAAAAAGAATAAACGAAAACAGAAAATTTCTTATCATTTGTGCCTATCGTTTTTCACCTGGTGAAAATTAAAATTTGCTTCCACCTGCTCGACCACTATTATTTTTGCCCGTCATATATTCTAGTCAACCAAAATAGAGTATCGTTAAATTCAAAATCCAACATCGAAAAATCAAAGTTAGTAGGATCAAAAATGACATTTTAATTTTAATCACCCATATATACCCAGGCGCGAAAGATCAATGCTGACGATGGGTTGAAGCTTGATTGAGTCTTGAACGCCCAGCGTGGGTAACCCAGAGTTGAAGCAGTCTTTACATCATTGTCTCTCAATATTGGTTCAGCATGGGACACCAATGTTCAACCCATGCTCGATTCAAGACTCGGTCAATCTTCGTGAGTGAAGCTTGAACATCCCATCTTTATTCAAGCTTGAATCAATCTTGATAGTTTATTTATTACCGTGTGCACTTAACAATATTAGATATAAATATTTATAAATTATTTATTATTAAAATATTTTTTATGATAATTTTGTATACTATTTAAAAATTATTATTAATTATTATTATTAAGATATCAATTGGTAAATAAATATTAATATTTATTTAGTGTATAATATTTATATTAATTATTAATAATAATAATTATTATTATTATTATTTTTATATTATTATTATATTATTTATTACTATTAATTATATAAGGTTCATATAAATAAAGTTAAATTATATGTTATTATTTTTTTCTTGCACAGTGTCAAATTATTGTTTTCAAAGTTCAAGAGTGTGAAAATTTTTCAAAAAAACGAAAGTTTTTCTGAAAAATTTTCAGTGAAAAAATGTTCATTAGGGTGTAATAAATATTTATGCCTAGTAGTTGTACACTTGGATCAACTGTTTAGTAAATATTATCAAAAAACTATTTTTTGTCAAACGCGTGCGACTAAATACAAATAACCTTGAGACTTTAGCATTGCCAACTCAAGAGTTTAACGTATGTGTTGAGTTGGTAATGCTGGAGTTGCAAGGTTATTTGTGTTTAGTCGCGCGCGTTTGACAAAAAATAGTTTTTTGATAATATTTACTAAACAGTTAATCCTAGTGTACAACTACTAGGCATAAATATTTATTACACCCAAATGAACATTTTTTCACTGAAAATTTTTCAGATAAACGAAACTCTTGAACTTTGAAAATAATAATTTGACACTGTACAAGAAAAAAAATAATATATATAATTTAACTTATAAAATTATCATAAAAAATATTTTAATATTAATGATAGATCGTCCAACATCCTTCCGGCAGGACGAAAAAGACTCAGGTGAGTCCCTCCGAAATCACTAAAGAAAACTAACATGGATTCAGATAAATAAAAAATGATATATATCATTGGAAAGGTAACGAAACAAGCTTTCAGCGCATATAAATATCGAGCTTGTAAGTTCAAAACTAAGGGCTGGGTAGTTTGAAGAAGTTACATGTTCCAAAAATTTACATAATTTTTAGTCACAGAATGACGAAGCCCGGTCCTGCCGGCAGTACGCTTTTCGCTTTATTTAAGAGACTACCCAGCCCAGGTTTATAAATTTAAAGACTCGATATTTACATCATTTGAAAGCTTGTTTCACTACCTTTCCAACGATATATCTAGTTTTATATTTATCTGCTTCCATATTAATTTTATAGAGCAATTTCGAAGGGACTCGCGCCTGAGTCTATACTCAGATATACTGAACAATATTAAAAATGAATTTTTTTTAATTGAACAATTAGGTTTCATTCTTTGAACGTTTCTGAAGAGAAAGAGACTTGTCCGATCAAAAAATATTGATTTTCGGGGATTTTACATTAAATTTACGAAAAAATGTTTTTTTCACTGTTTAGAAACATAGCAAGTTTGAAGGCTTTGAAAAATGGTTTAATATTATTATTTTAAAAAGTCAAAAATATGGATTTTTTCGTCTTTTTGTCTACTTTAATCCCAAAGAGTGCCAGAAAAGAAAAGTTGAATTCCCTTTTTTTAAAAGCCTTTTTTTCGGAACGTCCTTCCGGCAGGATGGGCGTTTGGACGATTTATCATTAAATATAATTTATAAATATTTATAGATAATATTGTACAGTGCACACGGTAATAAAGAAACTGAATATTGTATCAAGATTGACCGAGTCTTGAATCGAGCATGGGACGAACATTGGTGTCCCATGCTGAACCAATATTGACTGACACTGACGGCACTGGCATTGATATAGTAGATTAGGCGAGAAGCCTTCTGTGGCCGAGCGGTTTAAATGCGTGCGTTAGATACTTCCGGTATGCGTTAGGGGCGGGGGGCGTGAGTTCGATCCCACATGCGAGCGAATATTTTTCATTCTTTGTTTTAAGCGTCATATAAAATAATAAAATTGTGTGTTGTGTTGTGTTGTGTTGTGAATAAAAAATGTGAACATGGTTTGTAAATAATGTTAAAAGTCTGTTAAAAAATCAAGAAAAAACTGTATCGATTAACAGAAAAATTGTATTTTTTTACTAAAATTATTTTTTTAGTATTGCTATTTCAAATGACATTTATTGTTAGTAATATATTATTTATATGAAAATAATATAATTATTATAATAGTAACTTAATGCCATTAAATTAACAAACGCATATAATATGAATAAAAATAATAACAATAATATATATTATTATTAATAACTCATATATTCAAATTATATTGAATAAACGTGAGAAACGAGTAAATTTGGGAACAGTGGAAGCAGTCTTGTTTCAGTCCTGCGTTAGGCGTCCGCAGCATTGATTGAGCATTGATGTCCAATGCTGAATCAAGGCTCGCGCTGCAGTCTGGAATCGGTGTTACATTAAAGCTTCGATCATTCCTGCTCTCGCTGATTCACTCATGCTCAATCAATGTTGACCAATGCTCAGCCAATCTTTATAAAGCCTGAACTCGGCGTCACTTCGCGCCTGGGTAGGCCTATATAGAAAGACCTACCTAAATATTACCACAATACTATGTTGGACGACCTATATCATTCTGTCAGACATAGGAATGTCGATGTAGATCCTACATAGATTCAGACATTGCAGGCCTACATAGATGTCTACACAAAACCTATGTAGACACTACATTGTGAGGCTTACATCAATTGACTATAGAATGGCTTACGTATATCCTACATAGGTACTACATCTTATCCCGTGTAGAAATTTAACCATGGCCCAAATCGGGGCCAGATCTTTTGATCATTGTGTAGGCCATAACATGGCAATTTCTACACGGGATAGGCCTTCATAGGAAAATCTACGTACACTCTACATAGAATGTACATAACTTGGCCTACATAGAAGGTCGATTTTAAGGCTATACATAAACACTATGTAGTATTTACATAGTCCGTATTATATTTTTATTCGGGTAATTCAAATTAGTAAATATTTTCATATTTTTTAATTTAAATTCAAGAGCGTATTTTTCTTTTAAAAATATTTCCAAATAAAGGATATTTTTCAACATTTATTAATTTATTTATTTAATACATAAATGTACTCCTTAAAAAATACCATTTTTTTTACAAAATATGTGTTGTTTTAAAGAATATGTTTTGCTTTAAAACATAACTTTTATTTTGAAGAATATCTTTCGTTTTAAAGAAAACATTTTTTGTAAAAATACTTTCTACATTTAAAAATACTTTTTAATAAAGATTAGTTTTATTTAAAGAACATTTCCCAAGAAATAAAATTATTTAATGAAGAATATTTCCCAACAATGAATAACTGTTTCTTCTAAAAATATATATATATATATATAATCTCAAATATAAACAATCCGATTATTCAAAATAATGTCTAAAAAACAAACAAAGGTTAAAAGTAATCGAAACTTCTCGCTCTATAAATACACGAAAAGAAAGAAGAAAACAAATTTATAATAAGATTTTCCTATCATTATTTAACAAATATAATTGTGAAAAGCAAATGCAACAATTGCAGACTTACAGTTATTGTGTGTCTCTTTGATGTGAGATACCGGTTTGTATATAATCACGTTAGGACCTCGGGACAACGGCCTGTAGAAATGACAGTCTTCCGGTCCGAAAATCCAATTTGTGACAGGCCGGATATTGAATTTATAATTCAAAACATTGTTTTTTTTATTATTTTCGTCAAAAATAAAATTTGATTGAAAAGTATAATAAAAGTGAGATCACAAGACACATGTGAGAGAAAACTGAAAACACGAAATTTTCTATAACAACAACAACTGCATGTGTATTTTAAAACAGCGTCGCGTCGCGAAAGTGCTTTCCTTTTTCAAATAACGAAGTGAAAATGTGAATAGAAATTTTTTCTGATTACATATATTATTATAATAATGCAAGTGATGGCTAAAAAAGGGAGTGAAAAAAGGGCTTTCTTAAGGCTGCCTATAGTCGGCGTGTAAACTGCAGCTCCGAAATGCTCATTGTACACATTGTGCGCGAGCACAGCGCGTGTCTCTCTCCGTTTAAAACCAGAGCTGACCAGGCTGACTGACTCAGACCAACTGACTCAATCCCGCGAGTGAATTCACTGGGGGGTTTTCAGTGGCGTCGAGGAGACTAACTTCCACTTCTGACATCAAGCTCCAGCCCATTCTAGATTTTCTGTTTCGCATTTCGCCGCCTTATTTCTCACATATAGACACTTCCGAAACTCCCGCTTCGTGCGACTCTCGACTCCTCTCAGGGTCGCTTGTCGAATGGACCAAGAGAGCCGTTTTGCTACTTTCACACTTACATATCAAACATTTATACATATAAGGGTCAATTAGACAAGTTTCTGTGGGAAATTTTTCTTTTGCCTTTTTAAATATACGAGTTTTCCGTTTCATTTTCACAACACACTCGACTTTTATTTTTTTTCTTATAAACAAACTATCGTACAAAATTTTCTAAATCTCCTGTAGTATTTTGGAAAATAATTTAATTAAGGTTTAATTGTAAAGAGAATTCCCTTTACAAAGAATCGACTATTACTCGCGTCAAAAAGGAAATATGGGCAAAAATACAGCAAAGTCTATCAAAGTACAGAATAGTATGGGCAAAGTACAGTAAAGTACAGCTTATGAGCGTTTCCCATACTGTGGAATGTACATGGTTAAAAACAATATTTAAAGTACGGGGACAGTTCGGCAAAGTACGGGAACAAAAAAATAGGTTTTTGGCAGGAATATTTTCAAATGGAGAACTACACTAAAGTATTGGAGGCGAGTTTTCTGGGAAATATTAAATCAGTAAATTCAAAATCTGAATTTTTAGAGTTCAGCAAAGTACGGGAAAGTACAGCAAAGTATGGGAGATTTAAAAATTTTCAGACTGAATATTTCAAAAAAACTTTTTGTTAAATCTCCCATACTTTGCTGTACTTTCCCGTACTTTGCCGAACTCTAAAAATTCAGAATTTCAATTTTCATATTTAATATTTCAAAAAAATCTATTTTTTAAATTTCATATACTTTGCTGTACTTTCCCGTACTTTGCCGAACTCCAAAAATACAGAATTTTAATTTTCAGACTTAATATTTCAAAAAAAACTATTTTTTAAATCTCCCATACTTTGCTGTACTTTCCCGTACTTTGCCGAACTCTAAAAATTCAGAATTTCGATTTTCATATTTAATATTTTAAAAAAACTATTTTTTAAATCTCCCATACTTTGCTGTACTTTCCCGTACTTTGCCGAACTCTAAAAATACAGAATTTTAATTTTCAGACTGAATATTAAAAAAAAAACCTTTTTTTAAATCTCCCATACTTTGCTGTACTTTCCCATACTTTGCCGAACTCTAAAAATTCAGAATTTTAATTTTCAGACCTAATATTTCCCAAAAAACTATTTTTTAAATCTCCCATACTTTGCTGTACTTTCCCGTACTTTGCCGAACTCTAAAAATTCAGAATTTCAATTTTCATATTTAATATTTAAAAAAAAACTATTTTTTAAATCTCCCATACTTTCCTGTACTTTCCTGTACTTTGCCGAACTCTAAAAATTCAGAATTTTAATTTTCAGACCTAATATTTCCCAAAAAACTATTTTTTAAATCTCCCATACTTTGCTGTACTTTCCCGTACTTTGCTGAACTCTAAAAATTCAGAATTTTTATTTTCATATTTAATATTTAAAAAAAAACTATTTTTTAAATCTCCCATACTTTGCTGTACTTTCCCGTACTTTGCCGAACTCTAAAAATACAGAATTTCCATTTTCATATTTAATATTTAAAAAAAAACTATTTTTTAAATCTCCCATACTTTCCTGTACTTTGCCGAACTCTAAAAATTCAGAATTTCCATTTTCATATTTAATATTTAAAAAAAACTATTTTTTAAATCTCCCATACTTTGCTGTACTTTCCCGTACTTTGCCGAACTCTAAAAATACAGAATTTTAATTTTCAGACTGAATATTAAAAAAAAAACCTTTTTTTAAATCTCCCATACTTTGCTGTACTTTCCCATACTTTGCCGAACTCTAAAAATTCAGAATTTTAATTTTCAGACCTAATATTTCCCAAAAAACTATTTTTTAAATCTCCCATACTTTGCTGTACTTTCCCGTACTTTGCCGGACTCTAAAAATTCAGAATTTCAATTTTCATATTTAATATTTAAAAAAAAAATATTTTTTAAATCTCCCATACTTTCCTGTACTTTCCTGTACTTTGCCGAACTCTAAAAATTCAGAATTTTAATTTTCATATTTAATATTTAAAAAAAACTATTTTTTAAATCTCCCATACTTTGCTGTACTTTCCCGTACTTTGCCGAACTCTAAAAATACAGAATTTTAATTTTCAGACTGAATATTAAAAAAAAAACTTTTTTTTAAATCTCCCATACTTTGCTGTACTTTCCCATACTTTGCCGAACTCTAAAAATTCAGAATTTTAATTTTCAGACCTAATATTTCCCAAAAAACTATTTTTTAAATCTCCCATACTTTGCTGTACTTTCCCGTACTTTGCCGAACTCTAAAAATTCAGATTTTGGATTTTCTGATTTAATATTTCCCAGAAAACTCGCCTTAGAAAAGTTTAGTGCAGTTCTCCATTTGTAAATATTCCTGCCAAAAACCTATTTTCTTATTCCCGTACTTTGCCGAACTGTCCCCGTACTTTAAATATTGTTTTTAACCATGTACATTCCAAAGTATGGGAAACGCTCATTAGCCGTACTTTACTGTACTTTGCCCATACTATTCTGTACTTTGATGGATTTTGCTCATACTTTCATTTCCACGCGGGTAGTTTGTTGGGAGGATGGAAGGAAGGAATTTTTATTGACACGCAGGGTGGCCGCTGGATGGGAAACCGGGAAATGACAGTAAATTTTGATCTTGACCGGGATTTTAAAAATTTTTTATTAAAAAATATTTTTTTTTTAAACACACTGATTATTTTGTGAGAAAAAATAGAAATATTTATTTTAAGACTTATTAATTATATTTAATTAAAAAAGATTGAATGGTCTTCTATAAAATCGTTTTATTTTGCGTCAGGGAATTTTATCAAAAGTACTGGAAAAATATTTAATTTCTAGAATTCCCGTGTGGAAATTTTCTAATGGCCCTTTATTGGTTCTACCTAGATTTCCCCTTTATTAACTTGGTCCTAGCTTGTTTATCCTTGTAGGCCCTAGGTTGAAACGTCACGCTCTTCTAGCCTGGTTCTACCTAGAGAATCTAGTTAGGCCCAATGAAAGGAACAGTTTAATTAACTATTTAAAAAAAATTATTTATTCTTATTTATTATTATTGAGATTTATTATTTTAATTTTTTTTACCTACTTTTGTTATCATGTAATTTATAATACTTAATTCCTATATACTAACAGAGAAAAAATCCCCACACATTGGGAGTTGAACGCACGACCCTAACATTCGTAAACCGATAACCTAACCACTTAACCACGCTCGCTCGGTACGATGCGTTGCATGATACTTCAGGTTATTCTTGTCATCATAAGTCATATGAACTATTCCATTATAAATGCCTCAAAATAATAAAACTGAAGTCAGTAACATTTTCGTTGACGCAAAATGAGAAAAGAATTTTTTTAAAGATCAAGATGCAAATAATTTCTGATAAAAAGAACTTAATTGTTCTTTTCATTACATCCTGCATAGATTTTTAATCCAATCGGGAAGGGAAAGTCAATTGTTATTTAAAAATTGAAGTTTTTATCTCATTTCGTCGACGTAAACGTTGGAAACTTCAGTTTCATTCAGCAAAATATGATTTTAACAGAAGTTAACAAATCCGTGAACGGTTTTAAAAATTTAACTTGAAAAATATATTGTAATGAAAATTTTAATTGAGTTACTTAACTGAAGCTTAAATCAAAGCTCATGAAACTTTATATAAATCTTTAATGTCAGCAGTTTTTCAATGTTGGGCGCAAAAGTTAACTGAACATTGCATGAAGTAAAATTTTTTTTTAATTTAAATGAATTTTTTCTTTAAAGGAGGAAGTTTAAAGAAAATTTTAAAAAAGTTTTGAAAAACTTAAAAAATTAAAGAAAATTGTAAACATTCATGCAATGTTTAGTCAACTTATGCGCCCAACATTGAAAACTGCAGACATTTAAAGACTTATTTTAACTTTAATAAGCTTCGGAACTAAGGATGTGCTGTAAAATATACTGGTGGCCAAGGAGAAATCAACATAACCTTTAAATCCAACTGATAAATTAATAAATTTGACTATGTCATATTTTTATACAACAGATTGAATCAGTAACTTATATTTTACTAATCGAATCAGTAACTCAATTCTGATAATAGCAATTAGTAGAATTCTACTGATAATCTGTCAAATTTTACAAATGAAAAGTTAAAAGTAAACATTTCAGTTGAATATTGTCTCAATCTTGCTATGAGATGTTTAAATATTACTTCAAATTACACATAAACAATTACTGATACATATTTTTAAATATATTTATAACATATAATCTAACAAGAAGTTCTAGTTATTACCAAGCTAGGGCCAGGTTAAGGTACATTCCAAGCTAGGACCATTATAGACCCAATAATCAATATTGGCAAACCTTGGCAATTTCCACACGGGTTCATAAGAAAATTATGAATTTTGTTGTCCAACGTAACAGACTTAAAAAAAAGAAAATATTAAATTTAATTTTAAATACTTTCTATTTCTAACAATAAATAATTGAACAAAATACAATTTTAATTAAATTCGTCGAAAAAATTTGAAAGAGAAAAAATTTCACATCCTGTGTGGAAATTGGCAAGGTTTGCTATTATTGATTATTGGGTCTATAGTGGTCCTAGCTTGGAATGTATACCTTAACCTGACCCAAGTGCGAAAACCAACGCGGCCCAACACTGGCCCAGTATTGGCAAAGCTGGCATCGAGACTTGGCAGACAATATTGGTCCGACTTTGCGCCGACTCTTGTGGTGTTAACCACGGTCGGCAGCCAGATCTCGGCAGACATTAATGGCCCATTATTGGCTGCTAGATCTCAGCAGACATTAATGGCCCAATATTGGCTGCCATTACTCCCCCAGTGTTG